AGGTCACTGTTTGGATGCAAACTGAAGCCAGGTATGAATCTTGTCACTCACCTCATTGCTTCTCTTTGGGGAGAGGTCACTCAGGAATCACTGCAGGTCTGTGGGAGAGAGCACTAAACTTGGAGTCAGACGAGGATTCTTGGAGCTTCCATGTCATCAGCCAGCTGTGTGGCCTAGGCACGTTGTTTGTTCCCCTCTGAGCTGGTGTCCTTTTCAGTAAAATGAGAAAGTTAGGTTAGATGCCTCTGATATGCCTTTCAATGGAATAATCTGAAATTTAGTGCTGAATAGTATTCCTGACTCATTTGGCTCCCTCATGCCAGCTTGTCCTGTGTATAATTCTGAGGATCATAAATCAAAGAAAAACCTCCTTTTGATCTCAGCTGAAATGGGGAACGATGCGAGGAAAGGGGATAGGACCACTCTTTGCTATTCCTTTTGTTGTGTGTTTCTTAGGCAGTCACTAGAAGTCCATTTTCCTCTCAAGAAAGGAGAGGCTACCTTCCTCTTCTTTGACAGGGAAACAGACCCTCTGCCGAACTAATTCATTTCAATGTATCCTGGAGGTAGAATGCATGGTGTTGCATTAATTCGGTGGGAAGAGAAAAGGGAGCTGGCGTGCCGAGCATCAGTGTGCCTTATGCCAGGAGCTTTCCTTTTATAGTCTCCTGCAATCCTCTCAACGCCAGATGAAAAACCTTACAGATGTGATAGGCTAAGAGTGGTTAAGAAACATGGCCAAGTTAGGCACAGTCAGGAGGGGAGCTGGAATTAAAATCAGCCTGTCTTTCTCTAAGCCTGGACTGCTTCTTTGAGGGTGTTATAGGACTTGAAAGTAGGATGTGGGAGGAACTGAAAAAGCCCACAGCTGGCTGACTTCAGAGAAGAAGGTGGAATGTGGAGCAAAGACTCCTGCTTCACTCCCGAGACTCCACGGCCATACGAACCTTCTCTGTGGCTCCTCTTGGCTTTTGAGGCCCCTCAAACCCTCGCTAGGTAGAGAGGCAGGCTTGTGTATCCTGGGTGCAAGTAGGCAGATGGGGGATGAGATTTTCTCTTCACCAACAAATGTTCTAAATGAAACACCAGCCTTGCAATGTTCCTGCCTCCTCAGCTGACCTTGTAGGTCACAGCTGGGTACCGTGCCCACATGAGGTATGGATAGAACAGGTCCTGATCACTCTCACTTCTTTCCCTCTCCCTGGCCCTTTGGGGAGGGAACAGCTGCTTCTGCTACCATGAGGAGAACGACTCCTTCCTAGTCTCCACTAGTACACAGGGGCTTCAGACAGCGCCAACAAAAACTGTCCAGGCATGACCTCGAAAGCCAGCTGGGGCCTCTTACTGTCCAGCCACAAAAAGAAACAACATACTGAATAGCCAAGTTGAAAAGTAGCCTTGCAGGAGAGGAAAGAATATATAAAGATAACCTTGTTTTAATAGAAAAGGGAAATGAGACTGAAATTGGCTCTTTTTACCTCAGGGAATGAAATCCTAGGAACTCCACTTAGTTTTAGATGGAACAAATATTTACCAAGTCTTGTATGTGTTAGACACTGCAGTGGGTGCCCTCATTATAAATTTATTTCTTCTTCATAGCAATGGTAGGCAGAGGAAAGGAAGGTTTGGTGAAGTCAAAGAACTTCATCATAGCCACTGAGAGCCCAAACTTCCTGCCACCTATCCCAGAACTCTTTGCATCAGCCACAGCTGCCTGCTCCTAAATGTCCCACAAGCTTGTATCTTCATCTGTGAGGGTGGGGTACAGGTGGATACAGACCCCAAAAGGATTAAATACACAGTCCAGTGTTCCCTGGTGTCAGGTGAGAGGGGAGAAGAGCAGAGGTGTCCATCTTCGTCCTGATTTACACACCCTTTCTCCTGGGCTGCTGTCTCTGACATCTCCTGTGCTAGGCGGAGTCTCTTTCTCATCAACACAGCCCTCTGCACTTTCTCACTCCATGACTGCTTGTTATGTTCATCTCCCCTGATTTACCACAAGCTTGTGGAGAGCAAGGACTTTTCTTTGGCCAGCATTGATTTTTCAGTGCTTGATATGTAGTAAGTACCTCACAAAATGCTCTACCATTGAGCTACACATTCAGTTCTGAATTATGAATTGAAAGAAAAAAACCCCAGAAAGATGGATGGGTAGATGGATGGATGGATGGGATTGTGGTTTATCATTCTCTCAAAATTACAGTGTCTCAAAGTAATTGAGTGATTTATCTTTCTCTTCCTGACAAGTTAACTTACCTGACTTCTCAAGTTTGTCAGCAATCCAATCAAAAGACAGTGAGATTGCTGGGGATTTAGCTCAGTGGTTCCGGCTCCTGCCTTGCAAGCACAAGGTCCCTAGTTCGATCCCGGGCACCAATAGGTTTGAATCTTTTTACTTTACATCCTGCCTTACTCATTTATTCATCATGGGGTAGGATGCAATTTACTTAATTCTTTGAACCTTCATCTTTTCGTTGTAATTGATATTATGAGGCTTACTACTAGGGTTGATATCTAGATGGCCCCCCCAAATTCTCATACACTAATAAGTGGGGCTTTTGGAGGTAACTGGATCATGAGGGAGTGATACTTATTGGTGGATTACTCCACCAATGATGAGTTTATAGCTAAACGTGATGTGATGCTGGGAGGTGAAGCTTGGTGGGAGGAGGTGACCACACTGGGGTGTGGTCTGTGGTCTATCTCCCTCCCTTCTCCCTTGATCTCTCTTTCTCTCTGTTTTCTCCTGCCTAGCCATGAGCTCTTTCTTCTCTGTCATGCTGCCCTGCCTTGGAACCAATGGTCCGCAGACTGAAATCTCTACAAACTGTGAGCCAAAATAAAACTTTCCTCCTTAGAGCTGTGGATGTCAGGTATTATGTCTCAGTGACAAGAAAGTAACTAAGACACTTACTAACAGGAAGGAAAGAAATGGTTGCTATTAATTTTAGCATATATAACAATATATTAGATCTCTCACACTCATCTTTGGTGTCTTTTTTGTTTTCCCTTCCTTTCCACCCACAGTGACAGATTCCTAACCCTTTCTAATCTTTTTTCTTTTTCTTTTTCTTTTTTTTTTGGATTTTTAACTGGGTCTCTCTGTGTAGTTCAGGCTGGCCTTGAACTCACTAGGTAATCCAGGCTGGCCTCGAACTTGCAGCAATCCTCCTGCCTCAGCCTCTGAGTACTGAGATTACAGGCATGCACCACCATGCCTGGCGCTAATCTTTCTTCCAAAAGTCTTCTATGCTTTGCCACCCTCCTCTTCTCTGCCCACTGAATGCAATAGGCTCTAACCAGTTCCTCTGCTCCAGGTTTCCCCTTCTAATACATCATCTCCAAATGCTGGCTCAGGATTTTTAGAGGACAGATTTAGGATGGCACTCTGGCACCCCAGAGAGTGGAGAGGATAAGGACAGGAGAATGGAGAGGAGTCTTGATGCAGCATATGCATCTATCACTTTACACAAGGCTGCTTCGTGTCAATTGTCCAGATTAAAGTGTGGGGTGGGAAGATGGATGGATAGGAAAAGGATGCTAAGTTCACCACAGACCAGCGCTTTGTGGTTACCTCTAAGCAGAAGCCGCCAATTTATACTTCCAGTGGTCCTCATTATGACGCTTTTTTATTAACATTTTTTTTTTGGTACCAGGGATTGAACTCCAGACCTTGCTCTTGTGAGGCAGGCAGCTGCACCACTGAGCTAAATCCCCAGCCATATTAACTTTTTTCTTGCTGAGAACCTGCCGAACAATTTCCAGAGTCCTTTGTCTCCCATTCAGAATCCTTTAAAATTTTGCTTCCAGCCCCTGTCCCAGGGCCCTTGCCAGGCCTTATCTGATGAAATTCTGTTCAGCCCCATGGCCTGGCTTCAGCACTGATTTTCAACTAGTGCAGCCCAAGGCGTACCTACCTTCCCTGGAATCCTCACTGTTTCTTATTGTTAGGGTCATTAATTGTGGCAATTAACTGTGAAACTTTCTTGTGCTGTTGCTGAACCGTTTCACCTGTCAAATGTTTTCTCTCCCACTGGCCTGGAGGTCTCTTGGGAGTCAGGGCTGTTACCTACCTTTCTGGATTCCCTAAGGCACTCAGCACAAGCTCTGTGGAAGCAGTGCAGATGGGCAGTGGCTTGCTGACTTACAAACCACCCCTGAATCAGAAACAAGGCTTTGGATTTGGGAGTAGTTATCCCTTAAGGCCCAAAGACCATAAGAAGCAGTTAGGGAAGGCTGAATGCTGAGTTCAGGCTGTGGCAACTCTGCAGCTGATGGGGCCTCAGGCCCTGCCCTTGCCTACGCTTCTGGCTGACCTTGCAGGAGAGGAGTTCCATACCTTCTCAGCCTCTGCATTCTTCATCTGGGACTGGTTTTTATTGCCACCGGGAAAGACTAAGCCCATTAGAGAGGACGAAGGGATGGCAACCTCCAGGCTGGGCCAGGCTGAAGGTGGCCACAGCATCCTCAGCCAGCCCTGCCCCTGTGGGACATCCAGAGACAGGCCCGGAGAGTGCAGGGGCCTGAGCGTGGCCCGCCCTCCTGGCCCTTTCCTTCTCTGCCCCTCTCCCCGAGGAGCAGCAGCTTGGTCCTCAAGGACAGATCCCCAAAGGCCGACCTCGACCTCGGGGGATCTCCAGTCTTCTGCCCGTGCTGACCTCCGGGGCGGGCCCTCCTGCCTTCTTCGTCTCCCAGAGGGAGTGATGCATATTTTGCCAGGGCCCCGTGCAGTGCGCTTGTTCCAATAGTTCCTCACAGCCCCACTTTGGGCTAGGAGAGCAACGGCTAGCTCAGCTCTGCCCTGTTCTGAGGGTCAGCTGCTGTATAGACTGACAGTAGAAGGAGCAAATGCAAAAGGCCATGCAAGCCAGGTGAAGTATGACTGAGGTGCCAAAATAGGCGGCTAGTCAGAAAAGCAGCGACCTAACTGGCTGGCAACCTTCTGCAGGGCCTGTTTGCACACATAACTGTCTATGTGGCCTGTCTGGTCGCCTCAGACTGACGGGACGGGACAGGGAGGGGAAGGAGAGGCCGGAGGAGGCGAGAAAGGAGAAGCAAGAATAAATGAGAAAACTGGAAAGGAGGGAGACGCGGGGCTGGCTTGTGAGGGAAATGGAATCAGAGATGTGATCGAGGGGGAAAAGATGCAAGCGAGAACGTGGAGAGGAGGACGAAGTGAGAATGGAGAACTGACAGGCCTCATCTGTGCCTCAGCTCTCGGCCCAAGCGTTGTGGATTCCTGGTTACACGTTGTCAGTCCCACGCCGAGCGCGCTCGCAGCCAAGCTGCCGGGTACGGCCCTGGCCCTGCCTCCGGCTCGGGGTAGAGCCCAGCCCGGGCCATCTCCCGCCTCTGCCCGCCGCCCAGCAGCCCCAACAGCTCACCCCTAAGGCGAGGAGGAGGGAGCCGGCGAGGGAGGGAGGCGGAGGGAGGGGCTGCGGTAGGAGGCGACCATGTGGTTCCAGCTCAATTTTTTTTTCCTCTCTTTCTCCACTCGTTTTTCTTTCCAAACAGGGAAAAGTGTTCCGTGAAGCCTTAGCGCCTTTCCGCCTAGCCTTTTCCTCCCTGACCCGGGTCGCGACTCCGATTCCGGCGCAGGCTGGTAGGGCGCGCACTAGGAGCCCCGCAGTGCCCGGGAGCGCAGGGGGCGAGGCGCGAGGCCGGCTCCCGCGCCCGCACATGGCTGCAGCCCCTGCGCGCACCCCGAGGCGCCGCGCCCAGCTCCGCAAAGGTCCGTCGGCTGCGCCCAGGAGCCCCGCAGCCAGGCAGCGGCTAAGCGGCGACGCGCCCACGTCCGGGGATCGGGATGTCCTTCCTCCTCCTCTTCTGGCTAGGTGAGTGTCTCGGCCAGGGCGGGAATCTGGTCGCTCGGGCAGACTCGCCTCAGCGCAGCGGTCGGCGCAGCGTTCCCCTCAGCCTCTGAGGGAGCCGACCCCTTCGTCCCTGCCTCCCCGCCTCGGAGCAGCGCATCTGGCTGCCGAGGACCGCCCAGTCGGCCTTCGGAAACGTTTCACACATCTGGGCCCTTGAGCTAGTCGGGGGATGGGGGCGTTTCCTGGTCGAGTTTGGCCGTGAACCTTTTGCTGTAGAGGGTGCTTTTTAGGGCAGTATTTGGTTTCAGGAGTATGTAGGGAAACTGGAGAACTGGGGGAGGGAAGGTTCATCCAGGAATTTTTATGCCAGGTTTCTGAGGGTGTGGAGGGCTTTTTGTTTCAAACAGGCGCCTCGGAGCGCTCAGATTAGAAACAGATGTGTTGAAGGGTAAGAGGAAGGGAGAAGGGACGAGACAGGGTGGGAGAGGAAGGGAGAGAGGGGAAAGAGGCAGAGCTCCAGGAGCCCGAGAAGGCGCAGCTCCGAGAGAGACACTGGAAGGAAGAAAAGGAGAAAAGGGAAAGACAGGGGCAGAAAGAGAACAAGAGAATCAGAATATGAAGCAGAAGAGCTGAACTAAAGGGGAATCTGAGCAAAGGGAGTGAGATGACTTAGATGGAATGGATCGAGGAAGAGAGTCAGGCCAGGGACTGCTCCCTCCTGAAGCTGGGCCCAGCAGAGAAGAGCCACCGTGAGTGTCCCTCCCGGTCACCCAGGCTGCCACCCAGGCCAGACCGCTAATGCCTCAGGGACACGGGCTGAGGACTGGCATTGGCGGGTCGGGTTGCGGCAGGTGAGCAGCAGAAGCCAGAGGAGGGAGACTGTGTTATCTGAGGGGTACAGGCAGAACCCAAAGGCAGCCAGAGTTCAGAATATCCAAGAGCTAGCTGCTCAGTGAGTGAGCACTGCCCTGGACGCTAGGCCACAGAAGAACGAGTCTTGGGTTCGAGCTGATGAGCTGACTAGCTGGAACAACTTATTCATTGTCCAAAGCTTCATTTCCTTGCCTCTAAAACAAGAAGAGATGGTTCCAAAGGCACTGCTAGCCCTGCCAGCCTCCAATGGTAGGACTCAAGGAAGGCTGAGGTCTAGAAGAACCAGCAAAGCAAAGTGAGCAGCACCAGCAAGCCATCTTGAAATAGGCGGCCAGACCTCCCAGTTCTCTCAAACCTTGCGAACTGATCGGCCGGTATCCACCCAAGCTGGAGGGTTGGGAGAGGTCTACTAAACTCAACTAGTGCTCAAGGAGAAAAAGGGAGGGCCTAATTTCTAAGCTTTGAGAAATTTATCAAGTATGGCAGGTACATTTGCCACAGCTGGATGGCACCTTTGTCACTTTTACTGGCCCACACCACTTAGCTACCAATTACTGAATGGTCTCTAGAACCAAACTTCAGAATTGCCTTACTAAAAACTGAACACTCATTATGTCCTTGCTATACAGTGGACCCTTGACTTACAAACTCAGTTCATTCATGAGGGCTGGTTGTAACTCAAGTTGATCAATTGAAGGCTCTACACAGCCTTCAAAGTCTCTCTCCTGTATACAGGCAGATCTTAGTGTCCATAGAGAGACATTGGCCCAAGATTTCCCAATGAACCCCACTCAGGAAAGGATGTTGTAATGTTCCTTCCAAAACTCTTTAAGGGTTAAATCTGTATATGAGACTATCTGGAAGCACAAGAAGCCAGCCAGCCTTAGGGACATACGTAACTCAAGACTGGTTGTAATCCAAATTGTTTGTATGTCAGGCCGAACGTAACTCGGGAGTGGTACTGAGCATTTTAGGTGTACTATTTTGTTTTATTCTTCACACCAGCCCTATTGGTGGTGATTAGGATCTTCATTTTACAGATGAAGAAATAGGAGTGTAAAGCCAGGCATGGTGGTGCATGCCTGTAATCCCAGCACTCTGGAAAGCTTAGGCTGGAGGATCCCAGGTTCGAGCCCAGCCTGGGCAATTTAGTGAGTTAGTGAGACCCTGTTTTAAAAGTAAAAAAAAAGGCGTGTGTGTGGATTGGGGATATAGCTCAGTGTGAAGGCCCTGGGTTTAATCTCTAATATCAATGAGGGTTGTGGGGGGAGGAGAGAAGAAAAGAGATGAAAAGATCAGGGTGTAAAGAGATCAGATGACTCACCCAAGACCACAAGCTCTTATCAGAAACAGGATTCAAATGTAGGTTGGGTCTAGTTTACAGTGGAGAGTGACTTTGGCCCACATGGTCAGTTGAGATCAGCTGGTGGCCTGAATGTGAACATTGGTGACAATTCTTCTCTCGGTTCATCACAAATAAGGATCTGACCAAAACTTGTGTCAAAAGATGTCATCGATCACTGGCCCTTCTTTATTGAGTGTCTACTATGCGTGACTGTTCATCTGGTAAGAAAAGTAATCTGCTGGGTTGATTCACTGCCTTTATCATAGAAGCTACTTCTCCTGATGACTTTCTTGGAGCTTTCCTTGTAAAATTTTTACAAACTAAAGGCCAAATAGAAGAGAAACGAGGACTGCTGGCTTAGAATTCTGTACCATGGAATTCTCATATTCATGGTATTAAGCTTTTGTCATATCTAGACTTTTGTCAGACATACTCAGACTCATGACATCCCAGCATTAAGTTGCTCAAACCTTCCAGGTAAGAGACAGGAATCAGAGGAGCTGATGGGAGTAAATAGGGGAGGCAGTTGTGCTGGCAAGATTAGTCCTGTTTACAAAGCGGTTTTGAGCCATAGTACACTTAAGCACGCTTTAGCAAAATCCAGAGTTGCCTGACTGCTACAGTCATCTAGTGGTCTTTGAAAGCTGCCTGTGATCACAGCTGGCCTGATTGTGAGCTTCTCTTTTTTCTTGAGAATGCACAGGACAGCAGGAGAGTTAGAAGGGCCAAGAGAGTTTGTAGTCTGAAGTAGGACAGGCCAGTGGACTCCTTGCTTTCTGGGACTGCCAGTGAGTGGGGTCAAATGTCCTACCTCTGATATGAATACACAAGTAGTGCTCCGAGCCCTATGGAGAAGAAAGAATGGGGTGGGGGATCCAGGTGCGGATGCTCCTCCTCTGGCCACCACTCTCTCCCCTCCCCTTCGGCTCAGGTCCTCATTATTCTGCCTTGACTTCTCTCCTAGACTTCCCAGTAACTGCCAGGGTTGAGTCCTGATTGTCCTCTCTCCCCCATCCTACACACTACTACCTTTAGGGCAGCTGGCAGAGGGTGAAGAGCTTGGTCTTGGGAATGCAGCAAGCTCCCTGAGTTCTTGTTCTGACTGCCTTGTCTCTAATGTTAAATTCAAACTTTCTATGATTTTATGATCTTTCTCTTTTCTTCCTTAAATCTTTAGTTGTCCCCCTTGCTTTTAATCCTGAGTACAAACAATTTGTTCTGAGGGAATAGAGAAGGAGCAAGGCACTTGGTTTCCCCAAAAGTTCACTTGGAGAAGGGTTGAATGCCTAGTCCACTGGTCTGCAGGAAAATGGCAGGTCTTGTTTGGATCTCATCTCCTTCCTTCATTTTTTCCACATTGATGATGATGGTAAAATAATGACACATTCCCAATCGGCTCTTGTCTTTTTTGTCTCACCTTGTCTTGTCCTCAGTTGGGTAGTGCACACATGAGTGTATTTCATGAATGACTTAATATTGATTAACTAGACATCCATTTTTAAAGGCAGAGTCAAGGATTGTCAAAATTGGGGACAGGTTAAAAAACTATCTAAAATTAATAGTTCCTAAAATTTTGAGTCCCAGACTCCTCTGAGAAACCGATGAAAACCACTTCTTAGAAGAGGACACACATCCATTAAATTTTGCCAGTAATTTCTTAGAGGCTAATTGATCTCCAAATATCCTTCCTTGGAACTCAAGTTTATCCTTTATCTAACTAAACCTGCTGCTTCTTATGAATGAACTGAAGTTGAGAGAGAGTGGTAAAGTTACCCAGCTAGCTTAGGGAAAGTGCCAAGACTGGAACCCTAATTCTGTGGTGTGTCCTTTCCTACAATCCTGAAGTAGAAAAATGTCTCTTTTTCCTTTTCTGTTCGTGTAGTTAAGATTCAAGATCACAGTCATTATTCCAATGCTTCAGTTAAGTGAGCTAAATGCTGAATAATTGGCATGGTTTTTATGTTGAGAAATTACTAGAAAAATAGGGCAGATGTCGTAACATTTCAATTTAGCCATTATAACTGGAAATCCTGGAGACTTTCTGCAGTGTCATGACTGATGTCTGGTGTATTCAGGTAAGAAAGAATTGACACTCTGACTTCCAGATTTGGGTGCCTTCATACAAGGCACAGGACTGGAAATCAAAGGCATTTGTTCCTTCACAATTTTGCTGGATTATTCTCAGTAAGTCAAACCATTCTTAGCCTCAGTTTCCTTCTCTGTAAAATTAGGATGCTAGACTAAGATTATGTCCAAGTTTCCTTATACTTTTCTCTGAGTTTTTTAATTTTGAGAATTTACCAGCTGATCAAAATGTGGTTGGGATCAGGAAACATGAGTGTCACAATGCTTCATTAATTTTTTCAGACACTGTCCACTAGTAGCAATCGGTGGCATAAGATTATAAACCCAGAAGAGCCAACCAACTAAGACAAAGAAAACAGTAATGCCACCCACCCTGGAACTATACCTTTGGTCTGTGAGCCAGAGAGCATTATCCAAGGTCAGGGTAATGACCATATCCCCCTGCCCAGGAAGTCCAGTAACTGAAATACTTCAGTAACCAAAAGGACTTCACCCTAAGCAGAGTTACCTACAAGACAATCCAAGCATGGATACTCAGGAGAGTTGTCAGGGGACAGGTTCTGTTATATGAAACTATTTGCAAGCATTAAACATTTTCTTCTATTTTAAAGACATAATTTACTTACCAATTAAATGTACAACTTAATGGATTCCTTGCATGGATTTGAATTTGTGGTTGGAGTTTGAAATATGAATTGTATATGGTCAGCCCACTTGT